TTTCCACAGGGCACATCTGTCACATCTGACTTCTTAGTGACACAGGTCTGTGAAGAGCAGCAGCATCACAGCCTGTAAGAAAAGATTGTTTCAGAGCGTAGTCACAGAAACGGCAGAGTAAAGGTTAACTAAATAGAGCTTTTTTTTTTCTTTGCTACTGTGCATCTGTCTCTATCATCATTTTAATGTAATTTTCTACATCCGTTTATTTGTTGAGCATTAGCATCACAATAGATAGCACACAAGCTGCCCATTTATAGACGAACTATACATCTAGCAGCTCTGTGTGTATAAAAGAAGTTTACAATACTACAAAATTAAAACACTTTTTGCAAACTAGTTCAGTCAGCAAAGCCCTCGTTCGTTTTGGTTTACGTCTATAAAAATGTACTGAGATCTAAATCTGTATGAGCACCAAAAGCGTGAGGTGGGAAAACCATTCTGCATTGTCACACTCACCCTGTTGCATCAAGTCACCCAGAGGGGCTGCCCCTGCAATCACCGCCAACCCTTCCCCACTACTCATCAGGTATATTTGAGCTCCTTTTTGTTTTCACTGTTGATGTGGCAAAGCACACAGTTGTACAGCTGAGAAAGGCAAAACTGGGGTGAGATGGAGGGAGAAGCGCTGAGAGTCAGAAGGTGTTGGCTCTGTTAAATAAGGTTAGTGCTAGACTGAGAATAAATCCTGTCTCTGAGGCAGGATTCAATTATCAGCCAGTAGACACAGACAATTTCCAGACTGCCATTCCTCAGCCAGGCAACCGTTAAGGCTTCTGCTGCCCACGGTCAAGCACCTTTACCTCAGAGCATCTATCCTAATGGTCAGAGAAAGCCAGAGCATTAATGGTGTGAAATGCAGAAATAATAATGCATTCATACTCCTGAATGATTCAGGAAACGTGACTAGATACAAAGAGCTCAGAATTTGATAAATACTAATAATAGTGCAGCCCTACAAATGCATAATGACCAGGTGTGCTACAAAGAACTACTGCAGCGTACGTGAGACGACCAATTTGTCTTTACTCTGACATTCAGGTAATAACAAAAAATTCACAGCATGAAAGCTTTCCAGTGTCAAAATATAGACCAGAATAGTTTGGTTGGAAGGGACCATCAAACTTCCTGACCACTTCAGGGCCAACCAGAAGTTAAAGCGCGCTGTTGAGTGCATTATCCAAACACCTCTGTGACAGGCATGGGCATCAACCACATATCTAGAGAGCTTGTTCCACTGTCAGGCATTCTCTTGGGAATGAAGCTGTTCCTAATGTCCAGTCCGAAACTCTCATGGCACAGATCCATGCCGTTCCCATGCATCCTGCCATTGGTTTAACAGTGAAGGATGAAAAAACAGCTGAGCAGGAAGAACAAGTTCAGAGATCTGCAGGCATTAAATACTGCTCAGGTATAAAAGTGAGCCATCACCTTCACCAGAACCAGGCAGCATTTCAGCATGTCAGCCAAATAGCTCAGACATCTTTCTTCTGGCAGCTGTAGGATTTTCCTTTGCAATTTTTCTATGCATCCAGCAATGGAATATGCCAAGAGGCATTTGATTATTGTTGTAGTAGGTCAGATGAGAGCATTGCTCATTTTTTTTCCCCTCTCCTGCACCCCACCTTCCTTATTATGAAGCTGGCTCCAGGACCAGATGTCAGATGAACTGAGAAAATAACCACGTTAACACATCTCCATTGTCTGCAGAAGTTAATAGTTAATTGGATACTGTCAAGGTCCAGTTGGTAAACCCTCCTAGTGCAAATGTTCAATCTGAAAAAGCAAAGAGTAGAAAGTATAAGATAGCCCTCCCCAAATAAATGCCATTAAACTCATCTTGTAACACATTCTTTCCTCCAGCAGACTTCTCTCTCCTGACAAAAGCAGTTTCATGAAAAAATGTCTCCAATCAATTTTGTTTTTTTCCAGGCACAGAAATGCAAAAATTCATATCCCCATGCAATACTAATCTATTCAAGTCAAACAGTGGCAGCTCTAATGTTTTCAGCTTGCTGGGATCCCTATAGAAATGCCTGTAGTAGATGTGTGCACTTGTGTATATGCAGTGCCAGCCTTTGTTAGAAAGTTATTGTACTAAATGTGTAAACTATAAAAAGGGGAACTGAAGCACAAACCTAACTTCTCACCACTCAGCATATAACACCACAGGGCAGCCAGCTGTCAAGATCCTGCAAACTGCCCATATGCTCCTCCTGCCCTTCCACACAGTTGCACCAGCCCCTCAGCACAAACACAGAGGGCTACTCTGCAGGTCACCTAAAGGGAAAGAATAGTGCAACGTGTTTAAGCTTTGGTTAAAATATAATAAACTATGGAATCTTGTCCAATGCCACTTTTAAGACAGAATAACTAACAGGATTGATGTATGATTCATCAAGTTCTGATGGGGAACTGTTACCACTACACTCAAGGCAAGAGCCTTAACTCAGAGCAGAGATGTCTGCTAAATGTTTGGTCTCAATCAGGTGGAAGATTAGGAAAAAAGGGGAGGCGGTGAAGGGCTGGGCACCGTTAATCATGAGCACTTACATAAATGCCCAGTATGGCTCTTGCAAGGCAGAGAACTACCATGACCTGAGAGTACTGACTTTAATGGGACCTTGCAAAACCAAAAACACATCACTTGATGCAACTTCTGGAGCCCATGAAAGGAACCATTGAAGAACAAGGTTTGCTTACTGAATGGAAACACTGCAGCACTCAGTAATGAACCACGGGATAGAGCTGCTGCTGACCTTTCCTCACTACTTGCACACCCCAGCAGTAATAGCTCTCAGGAGGAAAGTGGGTTTACTTCCACACCTCCCAGCTGTGCTTGTCACACAGCCTGCGGGGCAGCACATGTACTGCAGCAACACAGACACAGCCCCACTCCTGCAAGCAGCACAAAGGACAGAGGGCCCATTGAGTGGATGTGAGGAACAAGCTGCCCTTTAAGGAGTGCAGCTCTCAACAGACGCTCTGATTAGCACAACGCAAATTCATGGCCATCATCACCAGCCACTGAGCACACCACACAGCACAGGTAAGGGCCAGTCACTTGGCAGCAATGAGCAGTGCAAGGAATACCCTGCTGAGCTCACCTGCCCTTCAGGGGGTATTTATGAACATGTTACCCAGAGAGGTGGTGGACACCGTGTCCCTGGAAACATCTAAGATCAGGCTGGATGGGGCACTGAGCACCTGATGTATCTGGAAGAGTTCCCGTTCATTGCAGAAGAGTTGGACTAGATGGCCTTTAAGGGTCCCTGCCAATTCTAATGGTTCTATGACATACACCCTCACTCAGAAGGCCAAAGGCTTGACCCAGGAATCACCATGTTTATCTCTGCCACCACCAAACTTAGCAATGGATCTCCTCCAGGAGCATACAAGAGGGTAAACAAGAGGTGCTGGAGAGGGTCCAGAGGAGAGCCACAAAGATGATCAGGGGGCTGGAGCACCTCCCCTACAAAGATGCGCTGAAGGAGCTGGGCTTGTTCAGCCTGGAGAAAGGAAGGCTGTGGAGTGACCTCACCGCAGGCTTTCAATACCTAAAGGGAGCCTACAAACAGGAGAAGATGGTTACAAAAAAGTTTGAGAAATGTGATCTCAGTCAATAAGTCTATAACAAACAGGAGGGGAATCAACTCTTTGAAAGGGTAGATAACAGCAGGACAAGGGGAAATGGTTTGAAGTTGAGGGAGAGAAGATTTAGGTTGGATGTCAGGGGGAAATTCTTTACAGAGAGAGTGGTGAGGTGCTGGAACAGGCTGCCCAGAGAGGCTGTGGATGCCCCGTACCTGGAGGTGTCCAAGGCCAGGTTGGATGGGGCCCTGGGCAGCCTGGTCTGGTATTGAATGGGGAGGTTGGTGGCCCTGCCTGTGGCAGGGGGTTGGAGATTCATGAGCCTCGAGGTCCCTTCTGGCCCTGGCCATTCTGCGATTCTGTAAACAGTGAGATATTAAAACAGGTAACGTTTTTTTGACCATGATGGCCAAACTCCAGAGATCGCAGCCCCAAATAAAACGATAATAAGTGATAACTACCAACTCACACCCACCCCGCTCTGACCCCAACGCGCCCACTAAGGGAAGCCTCGCGAGACTCAGCTATTTATACCCACTGCCGAGGAGAGCGGCAGATGATGCAGCCAATGAGCGGCGCTTCTGGGGGAGGGCGGGGCTTCCGCGCCCGGGGGCGGGGCGGAGCTCCCGGCGCGTCGCTGACGAGGGGAGGGCAGGGGAGCGGCAGCTCCGGCGCCGGCCGAGGCAGTCGCTGGTGGCCGCTCTGCCGCCCGCGCCCCGGGGCTCCCCCTGCCGGAGGCAGCGCACAGGTGAGGTCTGCCCGTGACTGACACCCTCTCCCCTTACGTGCCTAGGGCGCCGGTTGCCAGCTCCGCGCTCCCCTCGCAGACCGCCTTTTCCACTCCGTTCGTCATCTGCTCTGCTTTCGCGGGTCTGCGGGCGTCCTTCCCCTCCGCAGCTTCCCGCTCCGGGCTTCCCCGAGGGCAGGAGCTTGGGGCCGTACTCCCTGCTCCGCGTGCACCTGCATACAGCCGGACCTGCCGCTCGCGGCTCCTGGTGCCGCCCCCGCGCTCTGCCCCGCGCCGGGGTCCGGAGCGGCGCTGCTGCCCCCCCCCACCCCGCTGCGCTTCGCTGCTCGGGGAGCGCCGCGTTTCCCTCTCCGTTCGGTGCTCGCCCGCGGCTTGCAGCAGAGTTTGCGGTCCTTTCTCTTCCATTTCCCCTTTCCCCCGCCCCCCTCCTCCCAATCTCCGCAGCCGCAGCTGGCGGCGGCCAGTGCTGTCGTCCGCCGAGTAAACAGCGGCGGAGGAGAGCCCGACTCGCTCGGGACTCGCCGCTCGGAGAGCGAGGTCATCCTGCCACTGCCGCGGCGGGGGAACGGAGCAGTACGAGGGGTAGAAGCGGGTCGGTGCCCGCCGGTTTAGGGAGCGGGGCCGGATCTCGGCTGTAAGCCCGGCTCCCTCAGGATGGCACCCTCTCTCGTCCTCTGCTGAGTCTGGCGTGCACCGCCAGGCACGGCGGAGCCTCTGCCGGGCACTGGTGTCTCTCGGGCTTTTTATGGTCTGCGGTTGGAAACGTGCTTCGCGCTTAGTGCAGGAGCAGCTGGGGACGGGCGGCAACTTCTCAGTTTATTTGAGGTGCGATTCGGCAGTGCCGGGTCCGTCCGGTACCTGTGGCCTGCGGGGCCCCTCCTGCGGTGGAAGAGATTCGAGTCACAGCAGCGCTGGGAAACGGAGAGTGGCTTTAGGTTGGAGGGGACCCGACGGATCGTCTGGCCCCGGTGTCACGGGCTTCGCATATCTGGTTGTGTGCTCCGTCACCTCAGAGAGGATTGTCCCTCGGTTAAATTAGCTTAGTTTGGGCAGTGAATTATTGAGACAGTCTGAAGCGACCACCTATGGGTCAGATTGTTCGTGGGAGTGTGGGGTTTTGCTGGTTTAACGAGACCTCTTTCTGAAGGCTGGGATGGTTGTGGCACATGCGTGGCCTTGATGCGTGCCGTTTGGTTCAGTGAAATGCATGAAGGATGGTCTGAGTGCTGCTGGGCTGCTGCTGAGCTCTTGGAGCCTGCGGGTGAGAGGGCTGAAAGCAGACCAAGCCAACTCCAAACCCATGGGCATTATTCATTTGACACAGTTTTGTGCATACTTATAGCGAATGGAATTGTATTACTGTCAAGAAATTATTTCTCACAGTTGTTTTAGGCTGCATCATCTTGTGGATTCAACTAGTGCAGCGAGAAGCCCTGATTGCAGCCTCTTGATTTTTGTTGCAGCAAATGTAGAAGTGATGCAAAGGCTTTCCAGCAAGGCGCTTCCCTTTTCTTCCATTACCAGAAGGCATTTTTACTCTCCTGGCTGCCCCCTATCTGCACGTTGGACCAGCTGTCTCTCTGGGATGATCCCATCTAGCTTGCAGCCTGCTCTTCTGTGCCCACCTGAGCTGCTTCAGCAATGTGACTGCTGCTAGAACGGTGGTGAAGGCAGATGCCAGCTTGAGCATCCGCATTTCAGGGCTGCTTTACAGTATAAATTGTCAGTGTTGTTACCAGCAGTGTAGCCACTTATTCTGGTGGTCTGGGAATCAATGGAACCCTTCCCGCTCCATAAATCCCTGAAGACAGGCCTCGTGGAACTTTGGGGTTTTGTGGTTTCTTTCTTTCCATTAAAGTTCATCCAGGCTTTTATCTTTGACCTAATTGCTGCTGCCTACCCCCCTAGCTCTGATAACATCCATCTCCTATTCAAGGTGCTGGTGATGCTGATACTTCCTGGCATGCTGTGCTCTCCCTGTTAGCTCTCTATAGGTCTCTCAGCTGTCTTTATCTTTCATTATGTTGAATTCAGGTTTCTGTATTGTAAAGCTTTTCACAGTCCTTTTTATTTCCGCTCATTACTTTGTTTCTTACTGAATTTGACTGGCTGCTTTGTCCTCTTCCCCTGTAAGTGCATGTATTCTCTTCCTTGTATGTACTGTGCGATCTCAAAGTTAATGTTTAAAGCCACAGACCTATCTGTGCATGCAGTTCCTCAAAACAAAGCATGTTACTGGCATGAAGCCTTATTATTATTATGGGGTAATCACAAAATTTATGCTCTTTTTATAACCTGCATGTTGTGGCCAAGGCTTGATTGCAGGGATGTGTAGCTCATGCCTTTGTCTTTCCTTCCTTTTGTATGCTGACCAGGCCTGTTTGTTATGTCCCTATTGGCAAGCTGTTTGGGAAAGGTAGCTGGCCAGATATGACCTCAAGTACCAACATGATAAAGAGTCTTTTTCCCTGTTCTAAACATACCCAGGCGAGAAGGTGACAGAGATTGCTTGTGAGGGAAATTCAAAGCAAGTCTTTATTTATTGCAAGGCAGCAATCACAGGTAGTTTATGGTGGGGGGGGGAAATCAGACAGCCTCTTAAAAGAATATAAAATGCCTGAGCTACTGTAAATGTTACTTTAGCTGTCTGTAAATCAATTCCCCATCCCCAGGTGTAAAGCAGGACACTGCTTAATTTATTTCTATGTTCTCAGTCTGTTAGAACTGTGCGTTTAGGTGCTGTCTGCATTTGGACAGCTGAGAGCTGAGGGTTTTCTTGTCCTGGGCTATGGGCCCTCCACCTGTGGTAAAAGTGACCTGTGGTTGACTGCTATGTTTTGCCCTTGTGCCGATGTGGTGAGGAGACAGGAGCGGTACGGATGCTCTGTGGTGGTGTTGTGGGCTTTCTGGGTTGTTGCCAGCTGTTATGGATTGAACGGTCTCTGCGTGTGTGACAGCAGCCCGTGCTGTCGCTGCAGCTAAATGAGGGGAAAAAAAAAATAAATGATTGTGGCTGGATAAAGTGCTTTGGCACTGAACAGGGAGAGATGAATGATAGATGTTTGTAAATGCTATTTAAAGCTCTGATCTCTCAGATCACTGGGGGCGGTTCTACTGCTGCATTTGCAGCCTCCGCTCACTGATTTCAGAGAGGCTTTGTTAAAGTGAGTGCTTAGGAGTGGGGCTTTGGACTTGCTGGCTTCCTGAAAACCCTCTGGTATCTACTCGTCGCCTGCTGGAGGGATGTGTGCTGTTGCCTTGATCTGCAGCCTGCTGTAGGTAGCCTGCTTTAGCAGGGGCTTGGACTGCGTGGTCTCCAGAGGTCCCTTCCAACCTGTGTGCTTCCGTGATAAAATTCTGATGTAGGTGATGTGTATGTTTATCCTTCCATTACCAAAGTAATGTCAAGTACAACTCCTCCAGATACAAGCATTCCTAATGAAAAAGGGCAAACTAACCTAACAGGTGCTGTTCTCTGGGCTGAAAATGAGGCAGCAAGATAGGGGTGTATGTAAACCACAATAACTAATGTGCACCTGTTTCTTTTCTGTATTTTGGTACACAGGGGACACCCGTAAGTATTTTTGGTCTAATCTATTACCATCTTGTTTCCTTTGAATAGGAATAGAAGAGAGAGGACGTATCATTTATGAGAACCCTAAGAAAGTTTACAGCAGTGTGGAATGGATTGATTTGTGACACCTTTGATATGTGAGAGCTCTGCTTTGCGCTGGCCTGGCTGCTGCTGGTGGACCTGAGCTGATCTGATTGCAGCAAGCCCAACAAGACCGGTCCTCGTCGCTAACGGAACGTAACCAAGTGTGATGCTGCAATGAGATGAGGCTCCGAAATGGAACTGTGGCCACCGTGTTAGTTTTCATCACTACTTTCCTCAGTTTGTCCTGGTATACTGCGTGGCAAAATGGGAAAGGTAAGTAAAGGGCTCCAAAACTAAACAGGCTTCCACGTGGCTGTGTGGCTGAAGGATGGGTAGGGCAAACGTGCGCTTTGCTGCCGTGCATTAGCAATCTGTAAACTGCCTGTCCACCAGCAGGTGTTGCCTTGGTGAGAAGTGAACACCCGCCAGTAGATTCAGGAAAATTAACTTGGAGGGATCCTGGTTTGAAAAAAATAAGTAAATAAAAATAAACAAAAATGACTGAAGAAAAACAAATTCTGCTGCCAGAGGAAAGGGTCGGTCCAGGCTGAATAATCTTTTTGACTGTTTGTTTTTCGCGGTTAATGGGTGTTGGTAAAACAGCTGTTCTTTTTTCATTTTTTCTTTTTTGTTCTTTTTCCCATGTAACATATGGCCAATAGACCAGGCTGGACAGGGTTATTTTTGGCACAGCGTTCTGTCTTCCCTAACGATTCGGTGATGGCAGTGGCGAACCGCCAAGCGGCATTGTCCAAGGATTGTTCTTTCTTGCTGTCTCTGAAGGAAGTGTAAAATATTTCTTCTGAGCGTGGTATAGGGAGTAAAATAGTATGAACAAACTGACTGCATGATGGGAAATGTATCCGTTGTAATAATGTGAGCAATTTCATGAAAAAGTGACTATGTGCGTAATAGATTTTCATGGTTGAAAATGTTTGATCTTGTTGCATTCCATGTGAACCCTGAAAAAATCAGTCTTTCTGAGGGTCAGGACTGTTTACTCTTCTGATTTTTGTCTTTCTGTAAAGCAAACGAACTTATGCAGCGATGGCTTCTAGAAAAAGGTTAGATATTTTTTTCTTTTATAACCATTTGATCTGTGTCCTTCAAAGATCGAGTCAGCTTAAAGTGCACATTCTGTATCAAATGAGATTGCTACATGGTTTGTTCTGACTGTTCTGCTGAGAATATTATCTTCAGTTGTGCCTTGGGTCCAGTAAGAGAAGACTGAGGTTTTTTGAGAATATTATTTGTTGTAATGCGGCCAACTTGGATCCTTATTTAAGTGTAAAAGAATGAGAAGGATCTTTTGGGAGGAAGCAGGTGAGGTCTATGGCATATTGGCTTGGGTTTTTTGTTTTTAGTGTATTATTTGATACTAGTAGAGAAACAGCAGGTGCTACGTAGCCTGATCTCTGCTGTGGTGGTTGTTTGGTAGGCAGCCTTCTAACTGTGAGCATCATTAAAAATGTCACGTTCTTGGGGCTGGGGTCATATAGAGATCTTCTCATTGGGCAACGAAAGTGTAGAAGTGCAGAACACTGTCAAGAAAGTGATATTTGAATTGTATTGCAAGTAGCTTTTTAACTTTGGTTAATACAGCACTCGTTCTCTGGTTAAATTTCATGTTCATAATTCTTTTCTTCCTGAAGAACCTCAAAAAAATTTTTTGCTTTCACTTTGGGGCTGAGATGTATGTATCTGAAATTCTGTCTTTGTGGTTGTTTTTTTTTCTTAATGTGGTGTATAAATCTTGCTCTCTTCATTCAAAGAATATAATAAAATCTTAATTAAAGTAATCAACAAAAATCCATTGTCAAGAGAGTGCTATTGTCTGTGGTGCTTGCTGACAGTTTAAGCTTGGTTGGTGAGACTGCTCTGTTATTTGTCTGTACTTCATTTTTTTTTTTTTCTTCCCACTTGAATGCTCAGAATCAGTACTTAATGGTAGTATAAGAGTTCTACACTTATCTTCCTCGAGGTCTTTCTTTTGAGCAATGAGGTGGTAACTTGTTCAATAAAAACAGGTTTAACAATACATCAGAAATACACTAATTATGAATAATGGTTATAGAACTATAACCTAGAAAACCCACTCTTCAGATATTGCTTCAAGACAAGTTTATACATAGAATATTGTTTCTGAAATTCTCTTTTGCTTGTGTAAGTTAATGAAATGTTGAACAGGTTGTATAAGCCCAAAGATCTGTATAAAGATCTGTAAAGCCCAGATCTGTATAAGCAGATCTGAGCTCATTTCAGTACCATGTTTTAATTCACGCTTCTATACCAGTGGGAAAAGTTGAGGAACTAACAGTATCTGCTTAATAAGAATCCATATATTTTTTTTCCAGCTTCCAACGTTCTGCTTATTTAATAAGCCTTGCAGAATGTTCTCTTAATTCATTGATGACTTCTTCATTATCAATTATTCAGAGGCTCAATTAGACGCAGATACGGCACTTGCTGTTCCTGTTCACTGGAAGTTTATGATGTGTCACGTGCTGTGATCGTCTTTTGTTATTCATTATGCTTATATGGCATACACTGGTTTCTTGAAGGTGTTTGTCAGTCTTTGGACAGCAAAGTGAATCCATCTGTATAACATATTAATTATATTTTTTTAAAACTAAGAGCAAGTGGTAGCCAAATAAATTTTGTCCCAGTGACCCAAAGCCAATAATCAGGTGATTCCTTTCAGAAGAACCAGGATCCTGAGTGACTGTAGTTAAAATGTAGAACCACTTATGGAATAAACACAAGTTTGGGAGAGTGTGATATCTTTGTTTATGATGTCTTCTTCTACCAAGCATAGCTGTCCCAGTCTACGTGATAAGTTTGCACTGCAGCATGGTACGGGCTTTGCTGCTAATTTAAAGCACAAAAATTTTCTCTCAGTGGAACAGCTCTTTGCAGACTTTATGGACATGGTAGAAAGTTGATGGGAGGGTAAACTTTGTCTGAAGTGCTGTCACTGGTAATAGTGTGAACCTCTCATAGGATGGATGATGTTTCTTGCATGAAGTTCCTGGTTATGTTTTTGCTTTTTGAGTTAACTGTATTTGAAGCAAGTTGACTGGGATACTTCTTGTCTTTGGCACATCTGTAAAATTAAGGCAAGACCTTTGTTATTTTCTGCACCCATGTAGTGCCCAGAAGCACTGAAGTTGTAAGGAAGCAGTGCAGGCTGCAGGCCCTGAATGCACGTGGGAGAAACCTCTCTCTTTTGTGGGACTCACAAACAGGAACTGTAAGACTACTTTTTATGTGTTAAAAGTATGCTATGAACAGCTCATAAATGAGGCAGATACTGGAAAACAGATCTTACCAAAATTGATTCTTTTGATGCACATAAAGAGCACACCCAAAGAACCTGCTGTTATGTAATGTTCAGAGCTAGTTCAGTTTAATATGTCCTTGAATTCCTCCTAAGCAAGTGAGGGCAATTCCTCCTCCTCTTCTGCAAGTGGTAAATTCATGTTTAACACATCTACTTGGACTGAATTGTGCTTCCAGTACTACTGACCTGCAGACTGCTGGTGTTTGACCAAGGGTGTTATGATAAAACCTGCTCACTGGATGAGAATGGCTGATATTGGTATGCTGATTTAAAATCATATGGGAAGATCTCAGAGAGGACTCTCACTTATGAGATGTTTAATCAGCTCCCTAGTTTGCCAAATATCCACTTGTATTTAAATAATGTGACTGTTTTGTGCTAAGCACAACCTTTTTTTCTGCTATGGAGCAAGAATGAGAAATAACTTGGGCCATATCATTGTAGAATCGTAGAATGTCCTGGGTTGAAAAGGACCATAGTGATCATCTAGTTTCAACCCCCCTGCTATGTGCAGGGTCACCAACCACCAGACCAGGCTGCCCAGAGCCACATCCAGCCTGGCCTTGAATGCCTCCAGGGATGGGGCATCCACAGCCTCCTTGGGCAACCTGTTCAGTGCATCACTACCCTCTGTGTAAAAAAAAAACTTCCTCCTAATATCTAACCTGAACCTTCCTGTGTCAGTTTAAAACCATTCCCTCTTATCCTATCACTATCCACTCTTGTAAACAGCTGCTCCCCCTCCTGTTTATATGCTCACTTCAAGCATTGGAAGGCCACAATGAGGTCTTCCTGGAATATAATGAAACTGTTGTCTTCTTTCTCCTCTGCTTTCATACCACTGGAATTCCCACACTGATTCTTAGCCACAGTAATCTTAAGTGCTGAAAAAAAGTCAAAACTTCAAGACAAGAGTAGGACAATCTAACTTAACCTAAAATAAAGGCAGCAGCCAGTGATGGGAGGCTTTGGAATAAGAAGCAGGAATTAGTTCCCAGAAGGAGAAAAGTCCTATAGAGCCACTGAGGAGATAGAGCAGGGAAGAGAGGATTATTTTTTTTCTTGGCAGTGATTATGCATATATTCTCCTTAAAAATAGAACAGAAATCTAAGAGATGCATGTTAGTATTTTGCAACTGTAACCCACTATAGTTTGTGCTTTGATCCTAAGAGAAACTGTTATGTGAGTAAATGCTGATTGCAGTCCTATGACTACACATTCTGATTTTCAGTTGTGCTAATTTTCCAACAATATGAATAAAGATACTTCAACCAAAGAAGTTAAAATGTCTGCAAAATGGGAAGAGTAGTGGCAAGGGAAAGGAAGGAGTGGGATGCTAGAGAAGTTTTTTGAGCAAGAGGAGAGATGATTTTCTTCTTCTTTTCTCTTAAGTAGAAAGGAAATGTTGGCTTCATTTGGAAATTCTGTTGCAGATCTCTCAGGAGTTGAAGTTGAAACAGTAGCATCAGCCCACAGATATTACTCTGGTTGCTATCTGAAACATGCTACGAACTTGGTTTTCCAAAGCTGACCAAGTGGCACGTAGCTTACTGGTAGTAAAACTATCAGTTGAATTGCATTAAGGCCAGTCAGGAATGCAGGTTTGAAATGGTTACTGTGACTTACGTGCAGGTACTGATCGTGCTTTTACAGATGAATTGAGCAGAAGAGGTATATATGCCTGCTGCTCAGGTGTTTAGGTCTGCAGGATCTCTGTGTCTGTGGGGTCTGTTGCAGTAGTACCGTTGACACCAGTGATTCTGAGCTGCTCTGGAAAGGGTCACAGCCAAAGGAGCTTTTGCAGCACTTCTCTGTCCTTTTGTCTTGTTTGTAAAATGCCAGTTAGGTTAGCATCGCGGTTGATGGGATTCTAAAACTTGGTTGCTGCTAGCATTTAATAAGGCTAACCTCAGCCAACAGCTTGAGGTACTG